CTGTGTAACTGCCTCGAGGGTGCTTGACCATTTTAACACAACGTGGTGCGATCATCCCCCTTGCGCGGAGCGAGGGTTCTCGACCCCGCACAACATGGTCTACTCGACCACCATTATGGTTACCACCAAAAGAAAAAAAAACGAGGAAAAAAAAAAACCCGGTAACCTGGTTGCCGAGTTAACGAAGTGAATTGGCTTGGTTTACAAAGTGGTTGCCAAGCGACGAAAACCCAATCCCGATGGCAAACACCGGGGGGGGTGGGGCGGCTTGTTTTACAATGTCGTTGCCAAGCGACGAAAACCCAATCCCGATGGCAAACACCGGGGGGGGTGGGGCGGCTTGTTTTACAATGTCGTTGCCAAGCGACGAAAACCCAATCCCGATGGCAAACACCGGGGGGGGTGGGGCGGCTTGTTTTACAATGTCGTTGCCAAGCGACGAAAACCCAATCCCGATGGCAAACACCGGGGGGGGTGGGGCGGCTTGTTTTACAATGTCGTTGCCAAGCGACGAAAACCCAATCCCGATGGCAAACACCGGTGGGGGGGCCGCTTGTTTTACAACGTCTTTGCCAAGCGACGAAAACCCAACCCCGATGACAACCACGGGGGGGGGGACTGCGGTTGGGTGGGGGGGGGGTTATTGTCGACTTTTGTGGACGTGCAACGAATGCTTGCCGTGCCTGTGATCATGTACGAGAGCCGCTTGTCGCAAGCAGCAGCTTTGCTTTTCTTGTTTGATCCGTCCTGTTTATCGGGCGTGCTCACGGTTTACCCCTACCCTGTTACTGTTTTGCCTTTCCACCTGAAAATCCCGATCCGTGGCTACACGGCAGACTTCCCCCGTGCCCATTTGTCTCGCTTTTCAATGCCAGAATGGTGCGGTGTTTCTTACCCCGAAGTGTAGATGCTCATTTCCTACGAACGCATTTCGATCCACAGAACAAAAACGTTTGGCAGTCTAGCCGCTAGACGATTCCCTAGACTACCATGTAGACCACCCGGGCGATCGGCCCCCACCTGTTTCTCCTTCCCATTACACAAAACAGTACAGCTACCCCCGCCCCGCCCCGCCCTATGCGCAGGAATACTTTCGCCTAGGGCGTTGGAAAACCTCACGCCTAGGTGTCGAGCCCGCAGGCGGGCGAGCGCATCGGTGAAACTCCGGAGGGGATCAGTCGGGCCGGCGGCTGGGCAGCAAAAGACGGCGTCAATCGGAGGGCTGGGCGGCGGTAACGCGGCGATTGGTTCTCTCGGCGCCGGCGCAGGCGCAGGCGCAGGCGCAGGCGCAGGCGCAGGCGCAGGCGCAGGCGCAGGCGCAGGCGCAGGCGCAGGCGCAGGCGCAGGCGCAGGCGCAGGCGCAGGCGCCGACCACGAGGAGACTGGGACAAAACAGAAGGAGGAGGAGGACGGGGCATTCCTGTTCGGTGGAGAGCCCAAGCTCTTCTGATGATCGATCGGTTCCGCTGCATGCTGCCTCCGAAGGGAGGGCGTAACGCCTCTGGTAAATAGTGGTGATGCTCGGCGCTAGGCCGAGGCCCGACCTAGAGGGTCTGGTGCGGCACCAGCGGCAGAGCAGACGCGGTGGTGAGTGTTTGCGGCCTTGTGGCGGGTTCTGAAGCAAGGAGGCGTTGGGACAAGGACGTGGAGGTTGTGAGGGACAAGCGTCCTTGATGTCGGAGCGACCTGGCCGTAACGAGAGCCGGCGGCAGCGATCACCCAGGTGGCGCTGGCCTCCGCAAGACGGGCTCCGGGACCGATACTTTGTTTTTCGTTTGGAATGTAGGGGTGGTTATAGGCGCAGAAGAGAGGGTTGAAAGCATGTTTGGTGTTCGGGGTAGAGGATAGTTAAGTCTCCAGGTGGGACTCATTTTTGTTCGAGAGTGTTGGCAACCCGCTGGGACAGTCTGCCCGAGAGGACCGGGAAGGGAGTGAGGAGGAGCGCCTACAGCGATTGGTGCCCTCCGAGGGTAGGGCAAGGGGTAGGCGTTGAACCCCGTCAGCTCAGAGCGCAAGGTGGCCGCTGCCCATCCCGTCCATCGTTGGAGAAGACGATGTCCATCCGTTCACGCAACACACAATATCAAATCAGTTAGACTATCGATTTTACAGGCAGTTCGTTTCACAATCACACGTTTGGGTCCAGTTGCTGTTGCGGTTTAGAGCGGTTCTTGATCGGTGTTCCCGGTTGTAACGTTGTCACCATTATTGTATTTCGGTACGATATACCAAGTGTTGTTGCGGTTCGTGCGACTATATTCCGTCGCTCGAGGTTGTACTTGTTTTTGTTCCCCGTTTGGCGATTTGTCGGATAACCCCTGCTGAGCTCATGCGATTTTGTCACATCCTTCGCTTCAATGGGGGTACAGCGCGTGGCGCGAATTCGGCACACGATGTCGGGAAACACCTGCTGGATCCTATTTCTTTGGCTGCATGCCGGTGGTTTTAAGTAGTTTTTGCGGGTAGAGGGCGGACGGGGTGTTTTGCCGTTTTGGTGCGAGAATTAAGTGTATGTGATTGTGGGATTCAGTCAAAAATGTCGAACAGCGTCGCAAGTTTTTTTTCCTTAGTTGGACAGCGGGGGGAATATTTGGTCTGGGAAGTGCCCGCTGTTGTTGTCATTTTCATGTGATGTGTGCTGCTCAATGTGGTTGTGGGACGTGGGTTGGAAGGCCGGCCGGAATGAATTCCATTTTCGAATTTCACACACACACACGTACTCGAGTCGTTTTTCATTTGCTCGCTAACCCTCACCCCAAGAATGCATTTTCCAACTGATTGGTTTGGTCGATGCTACGTCAAAAAGCATGCGCTCGCTTGAGACTGGCGTCTTTTCGTTGACCAGCTGGTTCTGGTGTCGCGCATCTAATTAGATGAGCGGCAGCAAGACGCATCCGGCAGAAGGCCGCTCTTTTTCACTAGACTCGAGTTTGCGACAGCTTCGAATGGAGGGAAGCGTCTAAGAGATCTTCCATGTTACTTCTTAGTTGGTGACGTTAGCATGCAACGAGCGGGATAACCTGCACACAGTGCTATCGAGAGAGCTACACGACGGATGTCCTTCCGGTGATTAGCTGATTTGCCCGGCTGTCCACGCTTATACATACTACAAGTGTAGCGTGCCTCTGTCAATGGGGTCAGAGTTTTTTGTTGGGTTTGCTGGGTACGTACTGCGTTCTACCTCGCTGACACCACATCGCGTTATCCTTGGCAACGGGCGCCGTTTGGGACCGGTTATTTCGTTGGCGACCCCGTACGTTCACGCATGTAGGATGCGTGAATGCGGTGGATGCAGGCGCGTCGTCGTGTCTTTTGTGTGTACGCAAGTGGGACGTTTGATGCGAGGTACGATGCAGCACCCAACGCCCTGCACCCCAAGACAAACATATGTGCCATGTTTGTACCAATATACCTCTCGGCTCACAGGCACCCGTAATGCAGAGGTTCCCAAATGCATTGTACCGTCCCCTACGATATGGCCACCGGTGAGCAGCCGTACCGCAGCTGCGAATGATGACGAGGGGATGTTCGTGAAGCATGTCTAATGAGTTTCAACGTTTTCCTGCTTACAGCAGCAGTACAGAGGATATGGCCGGCCGGCGCTGACTACAAATAAAATTTAAAATACAGCTGACACGGCCATGAACTGCCTAGACATGTCCGCACAAAATTGTAATGGCTTTGGTACATGCCCCTGCTGTGAGTGAATCGTGTTGTTTGGGCCGACGATTGCGACCTCGAAAAACGAACACATTCACTGCAATATATACGAGTGGTCACGATGACATTTGAGCGGGAAGAATGGTGCGGGGTGTGAAATGTGTGAGTGGGTGCCGTTGGACACCGATTGGGTCAACATGGCATGCCTCGATGAAGGAAAGAACATGACAGAGGTGAGGTGTCGTCGCGGCCAGGAAATAGACAACAGCATAAGATTGGCAACTCAGAAAAAAAACGGTCCCCATGGACTAAGGACGAGGGTTCCTTGTCAAGGACTTCCATCGTACCACGCATTGTGTGCGTTGTCCGAAGATGATTGATGATGTGTTCATCGTCTGAGTATAATTGCGATGACGCCCACATACCACCACTTCATTTTTTGATATTTTTTCCAAACACTTGATTGCACCAGCAGTCGCTACGTTGCCAGAGCACCATCAAGTTGCTCGACGTGGTCCAGTGGGCGGATCGGCGTGGAGACAAAGGGGGGACACACACTCGGATCCCCTGTGGGGGTTAGTGCTCGCTCGGCATCATTGCGTGATACTCTCCCCCGGGCTGTTTCTGAGCTTTCGGTATGTGCGACTGCTGTGTGCTTCGTCATCAATAATAGTCTAATAATTTCTGTAAAAATTTTCGGTTGCGAAACCACACTCACAGGCCAGTGTGGAGAGTGCTGGTCCCACCTGCCGTGGGCGTGTGACGTGCAGCAGTTGCAGCTCCCCGACCTGCAACAACGTGGAACTACATTCGGTGCCTAGATCGCGGCGTAGTTGCCAAAATTCCTACAATATATATACTGAAGTAGGTACTCCCTCTGTCCGAGAATATAAGCAAGGTTTGGACAAAAAGCAATAGAACTCGTGTCTGCCGAACTCTTTTTCCGAACGGTTTTTTTTTCTGGTTCCGCCGCACTGGCGCGCAGCGCGCAGAACCGCTGCTCTTTTCACACCACCTCAACAAAGTGTGTTGCACCCCAGCACAACACGCCCGATTTCACCACCCCAACTTTGGAGCCCCGGTCAAACGCCTTCCCGTCTGCTGGCGGGACATGTCTGCTGCTGGGAGTGCCTCCCAGGGGCTCAAACGCAAGAATTTCAACGTTTCGGAGAGAGAAGAGGTGGTACGCTACCTTCTCGCCGACAGCGAAGACGGGGTTCGGC